GATAAATATAAACTTGATCTGAAGCACCACTTTCCCCAAAGGTTTCTGCCCGTACCTGTTCATATACTGTCGCCGGTAGCTTGCTGAAAGGTGAGTTCTTTGTACACTGGAAAGAATTATTACATGAAGGAGCAAAGATCTCTTTGCCCAGGGCTAGGGTTAATGAGAAACACAGAGGGGGAAACAATTTCCCTTCAAAAATGTGGGCTTGGGGGTAGAGAGAGAACGATCCTAGGCAGGACCAGAGTGCCACCCACTTCCGTAATCTTGGTTAACAGGTAAAGGACCCCCCCCCCCCCCGTGGAGCTGGGCTGCTGGAGATCGCATTCACACAGGTTGCTGGCTAGCTGCATCCTCAAGGAACACCCATTTGTTTTAAGATTTTCTTTTCAAATGTCCTTTTTGTGATGCCCCAAGACTTGCTGACATCTCTCCATTCATCTCCAGATTTGAGGGCCCCACTGATAAAGGTTACGTTTATTGCTTTTTAAGGCATGCTGACTCCATTAATTAATTAAATTTGTCCCCTGCCCATCTTCCCCCAAAACTTTTCATTCGTTATGTTGCTTTACTGTTTGCTTGTTTTCCTCCTCCCCTGATCGCAAATTGTCGTGTGGTTTATTTTTACAAAGGCCGGTCAAAGACCCTAATAAAGACATTTGAATTTCTTTTCAAAGCAAAAAGGCGAGGGAGGGGGGTTGTTTCATTTTTAAGGCCGAGCGCGAATCGCAGCTTTTCCTTTTTGAACGTGCACGCGCTTCCCGGGGCACGAGCCAACACCCGCGCGCGCCTCGCCCGCCGAAGAGCAGCAGAAAAAAGGGCTTCCCCCGCTTTTAAATTCCGCGGGACCCTGAGTCCCGCGCGCCCATTGGCCGCCTCCTAAGCTCCCCCTCTTTCCTGATTGGTGAAGACGCGGAAGGCCCAGACGTCACAATGCGCTTCCCTCGACTCCCAAGCCGCCGCCCTTAAGAACTGCAGTTCCCAGAATCCCTTGGAGGCGGCTCGAGGGCGGAGCTTCCGCTGCGGTTGCGGCTGCCTCGCGGGCGGCCTCTTCCTCTCCCTCCCGCGCCGCGTCGCTTCGCCGGGGAAGGGGGGGGGCG